GACAAGGAAGAGCCAACAGGAAACTTTCCAGGGGGAGACAGTGATGTCGTTGATAAGGGCTTGCATTATGCAGATTATATATCTGTTGAAACACAATTAACACCTGTGCATTTTGCTATATGGATAGTTTGCCTCAAAGGAAAAGAAAAACCTGGACTCTAGTCAACACTGGACTCTAATTGACATATATGCCGAAGTGTTGAGAGGGAAGTATACCATTTTCTGCAGCTTATTTTGAAATGTATAAAGAAAATAAGAAAGGTGGATGGGCGGGTGGATAAGGATATGTGGTACAGCAAACATAGTAAAATGTTAGAGCATCTAGGTGGTAGGTGTTATCAGTGTTACCTGTACAATTCTTCCAATTTTGCTGTAAACTTTAAAACTCTATATAATAAAATATTGAGGAAAAAAATTCTCTAAATCTGATCATGTTACTGCTCTGCTCACACCCCTTCAATGGTTTTTCATCTCACCGACAATGAAAGCCAGGTCCTCACAATGGCCTCCAAGAAGGATGACCTTACACTCTAGTTATCCCAGGTTTCATCTGTTATCTGGGTATAACTGTTAATACTGGGTTGGCCAAAAAATTCATTTGGGTGAGATTCATAATCTGTAACATTATGGAAAAAGTCAAACAAACTTTTTGGCAAACTCAATACATCTCCTTTTATCCTCAAAGTTTGAATGACACGTATGGGCCTGACTTGCCTCTGAGGCCCTACTGACCTCACTTCTCACCCCTCTCTCCTCCCATCCCTCCACTCCAGAGGCACTGATCTCATTTCCAGCCATGTGCCCCCTCAGGGCCTTTGTACTGGCTATTCCCTCTTTCTGGAATGTTCTTCACCCAGGTAAGCGCAGAGCTCTCCCCCTTACTTCCTTCAAACTTCTCATCAGATATCTGCTCCATAAGGCCTCCCCTGAATTTCCAATTTCACAACTGCAGTCTCCTCTTTCCCCACCTCCCTTACCCTATTTTTTCTAATGTACTTATAATTTTTTACATAAGATCTAATTTACTGATGATAAGGTCCATGAAGGCAAAGATTTATTTTCCATTAAGTCTATGCTGTATCCCCAGGGCCTTGAATAGTGCCAGGCAAACAGTAAGTGCACAATAAATACATGTTGCTATAATTAGCAGCTGGGTGGACAATGGATGGGTGATGGACAAGGGCAAAGCAGAGAAACTCATTGAGAAGCACCAGCAAAACACTGGGACCCCAAAGAAAGGGCCAGAAGGTGGGAAGATTATTTTGAACAGGGATTTCATGAGACAGAGTGCCTCATCAAATGTTGACTCTGACTTCTGGGTGCTCCCACCTTAGCCAACTCCTGGGATTGTGGGCCATTTCTGGGGAATCGCAGGGGGGCAATGCTGGGAACAGGTTGGGAGGAGGATGAGGCTGAGGACCTGTGGGGCATCCCAGGGGAGATGCCTTGAGGGCATGTGGCCCTGAGTCTGGAGGTGGGGGCACAACTTGAAGACAGAGACTTGGGAACCTTAATTCCAGGAGTAGGTGGAAACTCGCAAGGAGAGTTTTCATGAAGAAAAGAGCTAGGTCAGAAAATGTTCATAAGGGATATTTTAGGGGTTAGGAAAAGGAGAGAATGACATAGAGGAAACGAATGGTGGGGCACTGGAGGCTAGGGCCCACGTGCCAAAGGTGAAGAATTTCCAAAAAGAGAGTGTGGATGTGGGGAGGGGGCAGGGAGGGCATGGCAAGGTGATTGTCAGGGGTGTGGCTATGGAAGAGGTGGCTTTTAAAATTACAGAGTAGACTACAGAAAGGGTGCAGGCAGGCTTGGGCCAAGGGACAGATGCCCAGAGCCTGAGGCCTTGTCCCAGGAGAGGGATAAGAATGGGGGAAGACTCAAACTTTAGCTTTTCAAGGCTACTTGGAAATAACTTCTTTCCCAGTCTCACTGGCAAGTGAGTCTCTGCCCTCTACCCCTACTGCTGAACATCCTCATCTATAAAATGGGGTAATAGGGAAAACAAAAACCATTTATTGAGCACTTACTATGGACCAAGCCGAGAACTATCTCTCTCCATGTATCCCTTCATTTAATCCTCACAATCATCTCACCAGGCTGATATTACTATTCTCTCCATTGTACAGATAAAATAACTGAGGCACAGAGAAGTTAAGTCGCTTGCTCAAGGTCACAGAGAGAATGAATGGAAATGCTGAGAGTCAAACCCAGAGTCTGAATTCTGGGCCTTAATACTGTACTAATCCATACAAAGCACTTTACAGAGCACTCTCATTACCCCATGGGGTGATACATGAGATGACCCACACACCCCCAAAATGGTTGAGATTATTACCACATGTGCTGGGCTGAATCATGGCCCTCCAAAATGTCCATGCCCTATCTCTGGAACCTGTGATGATGTTACTTTACACGGCATAAGATTCTGCTGATGTGATTAAATTAAGAATCTTGAGATGGTAAGATTATCCTAGATTATCCCGTAGGTTCAAAGCAATCACCAGAGTCTTTAATAGAGGGAGGCAGGAGAGTCAGAGAAGAAAAGGTGACAATGGAAGCAGAGAGAGAAAGGGAGTTTGGAGGATGCTACTCTTGCTGATGGATTTGAAGATGGAGGCAGGGGCCACAAGACTTGCAGGTGGACTGCAGAAGCCAGAAAAGGCAAGCACACACATCCTCCCCTATAGGCCCTGGAAGGAACGAGCCCCTGCTGACACTTTTATTTTAATCCACTGAGAGTAATCTTGGAAATCTGTCCTCCAGAATGCTAAGGTAATAAATCTGTGTTGTTTTAAGCCACTAAGATTGTGATAATTTGTTAGGCGATGACAAAAAATGAATATACCACATCACCGCACACCTGGCTCCCCTGGCCAGCCCATCTCATATATTATTACTACTGCAGCTGCTATCAGAAATACCCCTAAATTTTTTAAAAAGTTCTTTAAAGTTTCAATGTGGTCTTCTCTGAACCTCAGTCTCTTCCTTTGTTAAAAATAGAGTTAACACACCTGACTCTGACTCTCTGCCAGGCATAGAGTGAAGGTTTCTTACGTTATTTGAAGATTCCCACAAACCACTGCAGCAGATGAGGCCTAGCTATTGTCCCCATTGCTCAGATGAACAAACTACGGCTCAGAGAGGGAAAGGAGCCCAGCATAGAGTCAAAGGGCTAGTGAGTAACAGAGCCAGGAGTTCTGACTTCAGATCTACCACGCTGAGGTGCGTGGCTCAGAGTCCAGCTCACGGGCCACCTCCTCAGAGAAGCCTTCCTGGAGAGCCTCAGCTCATTCATTCATTCATCAAATAGTTACTGTGACTGTTCTATGCTGAGTGTGCTGCTAGGCATGGCTGGGACCAAGTTCTGCTCTCAGCGGCCCACAGCCTAGTGGATGAGACAGATGCACGAACCCACCGTCCCCCAACACCCTGATCAATACTGAGACAAAGGGAGAGAAACACACAGGGTGGTGGTGTGGGGGGCCAAACGGTGGGAGAAACTCACTAAGCCTGCAGTCAGGGAAGGCTTCCTGGAAGAGGTAGCAATTGAGATGAGGACAAGGAAGATTCCACTAGGAGTGTGGGCAAGGGTCCACTGGAGGAATGGCTGACCAGAGGCAGAGAGGCACCAGACTGTAGCTTCCTGGGGGCAGGGAACAGGTTGGGTCATCACACGCCCCAAAATCCCTCTGGGCCTCTATGTTCCTGTGTGTGAATGGGAATCACAGGTCTAGCAGCCCAGAGCTTTGGTAATCGCTGGGCCTGGGCAGGCCTGAGCAGGAAGAAGAGGGGTCCTGGGGATTCCCAAGAGCGGGACAGCCAAAGGCAGGGTCAAAGGTAAGGGGGACAAGAGAGAGTGGAGAGAGGGTGGGGGAGGCAGGGTCCTGGCTCGAACCCCCTTCCATGTCTGACTCAGGGTGTAGCTATAGGTAGATCCTCCGAGAGCCTCAGTGACCCCCTCTGAGAATTGGAGCATGAGACAAAACTGTCTCCAAAGACCCTCCCCAGCCCTGACGGGGAAACGACATGACACAAAATTACAAAAGGGTCTTTATTTGTAAAAAGCCAAAGGGGCCCCGGGGGCGACAGGACAGGCAGGCCGGCTTCTCAGGGGTCAGGGGCATTTGGGTAGATGCGCTTGAGTGGGGGGGCGCCCTCCGAGTCCTCGGGATCACCCTGGGCTGCCTCGGGGACAGATGGCACGGGCTCAAAGACGGGGTAAGCTTCAGGGGCCTGGAGAGGAAGGGTGGACAGGCGTGAGCTCCACCCCAACCCAGGAGTGCAGGCTCCTAGCCCTGCCTTCTCCAAAGCCTCCACTCCACTCCCTTCCCGGACTTGGGAGTCCAGCCCAGGGCCAAGGCCCCAGGACGCAAAGTGCGCGTATGCTAAGTCGCTTCAGTTGTGTCCGACTCTGTGCGACCCTATGGACTATAGCCCACCAGGCTCCTCTGTCCATGGGTTTCTCCAGGCCGGAATACTGGAGTGGGTTGCCATGCCCTCCTCCAGGGGATCTTCCCGACTCAGGGATCGAACCCACGTCTCTTATGTCTCCTGCATTGGCAGGCGGGTTCCTTACCGCTAGCGCCACCTGGGAAGCAGACTAAGTAAGGCGCCGGAAACAACAACACTGTTTGGGGGAAAGAGGTTGATAATTCTGGAAAATGTATCACACGGTAGTCCTTGTAGGGAACGTCAGAAGTTTGTGGGAGACTTTTTAAAGCTAAATTACATACTCAGGATTCAAAAAAAAACTTGAAGTTGCACCACGATCTTTTCAGGTTTTTAATGGTCTTAAGTCAGCCCCCATCCAGCCTGCAGGATTTTGTTTCTAAAACACCCTTTTCTTTTCAGTCCCAAGAACCCAGCCTAGAAACCTTTAGCTGTATCCAAGGCCTACATTTCCCACCTTGACTTCAAGAGTGCAGCCCTCAAGCTTTTAGCAGCCCCACAGCTCCCCATTCCTTCCAAGACCTGGGAGTCCAGGTGGCCATTCTCACCTCAGCCTCCAACAATTCTGGAACAGGCTCCTCCTTGGTCAACATGGGGGGTTCATCCGTGCTGCCCGCAGGTATGCCCCCAGGATCTGAAACATGAAATTAACAGACGTTCCCTGAGCCACTGCAGAGACCAGGAGGGAAACCCACGACTCACATAAGCCTGTAGGCTATGGGAGCACTCAGTGGGGAGCCAGATCCCTAGCTGCAACCCAGAAAGAAAACACAGGAAGGACATGTAGGTGGGATCTTGACGGGTGAGTAGATTTGATCAGGTAGACAAATGGGGAGCTGGAGTACATTTCAGGTGGAGGCAACAGAAGCTTGGCAAGCACAGATCCGGGTGCTGGACTCCGTGCGTGTGTGTGGGTGCTAAGTCACTTCACTCGTGTCTGACTTAGTACAACCCAATGGACTGTAGCCCACCAGGCTCCTCTGTCCACGGGATTCGCCAGGCAAGAATACTGGAGTGGGCTGCCATGCCCCCATCCAGGGGATCTTCCTGACTCAGGGATCAAACCTGCGTCTCTTTATGTCTCCTGCATTGGCAGGTGGGTTCTTTACCACTGAGCCACCTGGGAAGCCCGGGGTTGGACTGCTTGGGTTCAAATTCTGACCTTGGGCAAGTAACTTTATTTCTCTAAGCCTGTTTTCCTGTCTGTAAAATGGGGATAATTGTAGTAATGACTGGGTTCCCTGATGGCTTAGTGGGTAAAGAATCTGCTTGTAAAGCAGGAGGCACAGGAGATGCCGGTTCAATTCCTGGGTGGGGAAGATCCCCTGGAGGAGGACATGGCAACCCTTTCCAGTATTCTTGCCTGGAGAATCCCCATGGACAGAGGAGCCTGGTGGGCTTAAAGTCTAAAGGGTCACAAAGAGACACAACTGAGTGACTACACCACATGCATAGTAATTACCACACGAGACTGTTGTAAGGATTAAATGAGACAGGAAAAGCCATTAGCACAGGGCCTGGCACATAGTAAGTGCTCGATAAATGCGAATTATTGTCTTTATATTAGTAAAGGTACAAAAGTGTGTGCTATGATCTAGACATGGAACATAGGCCCAAATCAGGGTGTTTTTGGATGGGAACAATGAGGTCAGCAGGGGACAGTTCATGAAGGGCCCAGAGTGCCAGGTTGAGGAGTCAAAGGTCATAGGGAGTCACTGAAGGTTTTGCAGCAGGAAAAGAACCTTGTCAAACTTGTGCTCAGTGGGGGTACAACTAGAGGCGGGGACATCCCGGAGGCTGGAGCTAGGCGTGGGTGGGAGAGATGACAGAGCTGGGGAGGCAGGGGAAGGCAAACGCATGGGGGAAGTGAATCTGACCAGACAGGGGACTGACTCTAGGAGAAGACACAAGAGGAGGGCTCATGCCCGAGATCCTAGCTCATTGGCTGTGTGTGCTTAGGTAACTTACTTAACCTCCCTGAGTTTTGGTTTCTCATCTATAAATAGAGATCATAACCCTCATAGGGTTGTAGTGAGGATTAAATGAGATAAAACATGGAAAGAACTTAGAAAGGTGCCTAGCATACAGTGAGAGCTCAGTAAATATTAGCAGTTATATTATCACTTATTATTAATCACTCTTATGATTATCACAATTATTTTATCGTGCATGCATGTTCAGTCATGTCCAACTCTTTGGGATTCCATGGACTGTAGCCCACCAGTCTGTCCAGGAGATTACCCTGGCAAGGATACTGGAGTGGGTTGTCATTTCCTTCTCCAGGGGATCTTCCCAACCCAGGAATCGAACCAGGGTCTCCTGCATTGGAGGCGGATTCTTCACCAGCTGAGCTACCATGGCTGTTGTTGTTCAGTCACCAAGTCATGTCTGACTCTTTGAGACCTGATCGACTGAGCCACCAGGGAAGGCCCAGCAAATACTCCTTGGTCACCTACTATGTGTTCTATGGTGTTCTGAGGATAATACCAGTGAACAAGGTCAATGTGGGCCCAACAGTCAGGAAGCTGACATGAGGTGGGAAAGAAAGCTATTTAACTAGTACAAAGCTAAATCTACATGAAAATCTCAGACAGTGATAAGCGATCCACAGAAGCTAAGAAGCCAGAGAAGGGAAGAGATAGTCCCTAGAGAAAGGGCGGTGACTTTCCACAGAACTCAGGGAGGCAACTTAGGAGGAAGGGCTGGCAGAGGGGCAAGCTGGTGGCTTCCACTTCGGAGGGGAGAAGGCTCAGAAGAGCGGGCTCCTGGGAGGCACCTGGTCCTACCTCTCTCCTGGCCCAGCTGTGGGGGCTGAGCATCCTCTGGGACCCCTTCCGGTGGTCCAGCAGGTGACACAGGGCGGCTGGGCTGGGGGGTGCCCCCAGGGCTGGGCTCCGTGCCCTTCTGCAGGGAGCCTTCCGAATGGAAACTCTGGTTACTGTTCTCATCTGTGGGGGTAAAAAGCCGAAAGGGTTGGGCCTGAGGCCCCAGTCCCCTCCCTTAATGCCCACAGCCCCCCACATCCCAGCATCCCTACCTACCATTGAGATCCAGCAGGATGAGAGGGCCACCCCCTCGGGGACTGGCGCCCCTGCCCCTCCGCTCCCGGCCTCGGGATCTCTCTGCCCCTCCACCTGCCCTCCGGCGCTCCTGGGGGTTAGAGGGCTAAGGGTCAGAGGCAGCTTTCTGGTTAGCACTTGCCAAGCCCCCACTGTGCAAATAAAGAAACTGAGGCAGAGAGAAGCGGAAGGCCCTGCATGAGGTGACAGGTTGTGCACTGCTGGGTTAAGTCTTGAACTCTGGAGGTGGGGGCGGCGGGGGACGGAGGTGTGGTGGGGGGAGGGGAAGAGGCGGAGTTGCTATTAATTGTTAACATCTGTCTGTGCTCCTGCATTTGAGCTCTGAGTGGAGACTGGAGGTGGAGGCCAGGGTGGGGAGGGGCTTGCCTGAGGTTACACAGAAGAAGGGCCTGGGACAGGGTGGTGGGGGGAGGGGGGGAACGTGCTCACCTCCTCCTGGGGGTCCACCACTGGCACCCACTTGAAGATACGAAGGGAAGTGTCGCCCACAGTCACCCAGCGCTTCTCCCTGTGGGACAGTGGGGGGATTGGGTCAGAGAGGCCTGAGGGGAGGGCCACCCCGGGAGCGGGACACATCTGGGGATACCCCGAGATGTCAGGGTAATGTCCTGATGGAAGGGGCACTTTTGCTAAGAGGACACAGTTAGAGGGAGAAACCCTGCAGACCCGAGGGCACAGATAGATGGGGGGCGGGGATGTTTCTAGAGAGAGTGTGATTTGGGGTCGCGCCTCTGCAGACCCCTGGGGTAACACATTGAGAGCTCGGACTCTTGAGGCCGGCTGGGGACCTTAGCAATGAAGATCCTCGGGCACACTCGCGGGAGGAGTGTCAAAGCTTCAGGGGCGGGGCATAAACGGGGGCTCCAGCTTCGGGAGGGCAGGACTGGAGAACACGCTTTGTAGACCCCAGGGTGTAGCCAGAAGGAAGATAGAGCCCCGCAGCTCCGGCGCGCAGCTGGGCGGCACACCTAACAGCTGGGGGCCACAGCTGGCGAAGCGGGGTAGACTTAACTGGGGGAGGAGTGGCCCACTGGGTCCCGTCCCTGGCCCCGGGGCAGCGCTCACCATCTCCGGACCTTCTCGATGGTCGCCATCACCTTCTTGATGTCATCCTTGGCCCGGCTCCGGGTCTCGGCCCGCACGGTCCGGCCGGCCATGCTGGCGGGGCTGGGGCCCAGGCCGAGCCCGCGGCTGGGCCGCCTCCCGTCCGGCGGGCTCAGGCTCGGCGCCAGGCCGGGGCGCCGCTCTCTCGGCCCGTCGTCCCTCCGGGAGTTGGTCGCGCCCTCCCTCGCTCCCCCAACGCCTCCGCGAGTCCCCGCCCAGCTTCCTGCCGCCGCGCCCCGCCCCGGCCCGTCCCCGGAGCGGCCGGGCGGCTCGGGCGGCCGGAGCCCAGGCCTGGAAGTCGGCCGGCCCCGCCCCAACCGGGCCCGCCCCCTCGGGGCACCCGGACGCGCAGCGCCCCCTGCCCGCCGCCGAGAGGCAGGTTGGGGGCAGCTGGGCGACTGGACGCGCGCGGCGGGGCTGCGGCCGTGCGTTCAAACCACGTGGGCGCCAGGGGGCGCGAGATGGTCAATGTCCCGTGTGAGACCGCTGAGCGTGGGGACGTCCCCGGGACTGTGTGTGTGTGTGTGTGTGTGTGTGTGTGGTGTGTGTGTGTGTGTGTCTGTGTGTGTGTGTGTCTGTGTCTGTGTGTGTGTGTGACTATCCGGTTCTACACTGTTCTACTACCCTTTCATCCATTCACTCAACAGTCTATTAATTGAGTGCCAATTACGTGCCTGAGGCTGCATATAACTGATTCTTACCAGAACGTCTAAAATGAAAACGACTGAACCTACCAAGTGGAGGAGAGGAAGTAGAGCAACTAGATCCCTCATATTTTGGGGGGAGTGGTAGAGATACTACTTCGAAAAGCTGGCGGTTTTTCAGAGAAACTATGCTCCAACAGTTCCACTCCTAGGTCGTTAACAGCCAACAGAAATGCGTGGGTATGAGCACCAAGGGACCTGTACTGGAATGTTCATATCTCTGTAATAGCCTCAGACTGGAAACAACCCATCGACAGGGGAGTGGAAAGTGAATTGTAGCCTGTTTACACCATGGAGGACCCAGCAAGAAGACTGAGGTCCTGCTATCCCCAACAACGGGGACAAATCTCATGAAAGGAGTAGGATACAGAAGCATGCATTGTATGATTTCATTTACATAAATTTCAGAACCGACAACATCAATTAAGGGTGTGAGAAATCAGGAGGGCGGTCACCCATGGGACTGGGAGGGGCTAATAGGGGGATTGTGGGAACCGGTCATGCTCTGTTTCTTAATCTGGTGCTGATTCCCAGGGCATGTTTACTCTTGGAAAATTCGTTGAACTGTACCCTTATGATGGTGTGCACTTTTCCCTACTTGAATGAAAAGTTTACTTAAAATGAGTATGTCTTAGTTGATTTTGTTTGAAGCTGTGTTTATCAGCAGACATGCTAAAGTTATGTAGCTATGTGTGTGTGTATTTCAAGGGTGTGGCTACTGTGTCTGTGTGTTTTCCAGTGACTATGTTCAGAGGGATTAAGGTATAGGAAGGTGGGCATGTCAACATTTCTGGAGCCAAACTTCTGGGGTAAAATTCTACCTCTGCTTGTCCAGTGACCTTGGACAAGTCACATCTCTATCAACTACAACATAGGAATGAGTTAATATGTGTATAACTCTTAGAGCAATGCCTTGCACACAGTAAATACCCAATAACAGTCTCTGTTAATAAGTGTGATGGCCTCACCTGCTATGCCCTCTGCCAGTTCATCCCTTTCTTCCTTTATTCTGGCAATAGTCTCCTCATGGCAATATACTCCCACACTCACAGGTCTCCTTCCCAATTTCTTCATTCACAAACCCTACATGCTGATGCCTATGGTCGCCCCCATTAGATTGTGAGCTCCTTAGGGGCCCAGAGACCAAGAATGGATCATCATCTCTGGGTGCCAGAGCCCAGGACAGAGTGGGTTCTTGGGAACCACGTGTGGGGATAAGTAAATGTATAAAGACCCTACAGCATTTTTCTGCATCAGATTAGTGGGTTGACCTTTGGGTATGACTCCCTCTACCTGTCTTTTTCAGCTTGTTTCTGTTTGAGAACCCTTCAGGAAATGCGGGTGTGTCAGAAGTTCTCTTCCTGGGTCTGGTCAGGTGCGACGTGTGGTCCCCTAGTAGGTGTGACTGTGAAAGCAAGGGCAGAAGGCATCTGAAACAGGCCAGGAGTGTATGTCCTGGCAGGTGTGGTCTAAGCCTGAGGGCCCCCACCTTGGCCTCTCAAGAACCCGGCTCTCCCCTCCCCCAGACAAGAGGAAGGGCCAGCACATTCCTGGCCTGCCAGCTGCGCCCTCTCCTGCCCTCTCCCTCCCCTTCCCCCTCCAACAAGCTTTCTCCGGGCTGGGCGCAGATAGGAGCCTGAGCCTTCTCCCATCGGACCTCAGGGCTGCCTCCAAGGCTCAGGCACCCCAAGCCTGAGGTCCCGAGTCCACCCTTCAGACAACCTGCTGCCCTCCTCAGGTCCCCTTCGCGACTAGGCCGAGTGAGCAGAGAGGTGAGCTAAGGGCCAAGGAATCCGGCCTGGGACGGCGGGGGTGGGGTGGGGTGTGTGTGGAAGGGGGTAGATTGTTGGGGTCTGAGCCCTGATTGGCTACGCCCGGGCCACGCCCCTACCCTTTTCCCCCTTCTCCCCCCCTCGTAAGGGGGGCGTGGAGGCAACCAGGATCAGCCGGGGGCCAGCATGAGCCGGAGGGAGGGCAGTCTGGGTAAGGGGCTGAAGGGTCGGATGCCGAGCGCCCGCGGGGAGCAGGGGTCAGAAGGGCTGGAAGCTGGGGTCCGGGTCACCGCCACCCCTAAGTCGGGGAAGGGAGCGGCCTGAGCGGGGGAGAACAGGGCAGCGGTGTCAGGTAACGAGCGGGTGAGTTGTGGGTGAGCTGTGGGAAGGGCCAAGGGCCAGAGTTTAGAGGAGGCTTGGGGCTGTGCCTTCAGAGACTTGGGCTCAGGAGATAGATCACCAGTTCGAGCACACCCTGGGGGAGGACCGGGGTCGTGGCTGGAGGACTCCGGGATCCTGAGTATAGGAAAAGAATCAGAACTGGGAGCCAGAGAGAGGGGGAAAGTTAGGGGAGGAAGTCTTTGGGCCACAGGGTCGGTGAGTGACTACAAGAAGCGAAAGTTGAGGCTGGTAAGGATAGGTACCCGCGGGGCAAACTCTGGCGGGGGGCGGGGCGGAAGTTGCCGGGCAAGGACTACATTCCCCAGTATGCCCTGGGCATGCGCGCTAGGCATCTTGGGAAATGTAGTCTTCCTCCCGGAGCGCCAACCTCTAACTTGTGATGTAGTTAAGGCAGGTTACTGATTCACTGATGGGGCCCAGTGCCCCGCCCACGGTCTTGGGAGGGCCGTCTGGGAAGGAATGGGACGTCAGTCTCCTAATCTGTAAAATGGGCTTAAAGGCTCGTTTCAGTTTGAAGTTCTGTTCTTTGATGATGCTGAATTCCACCAACAATCACTGAGGTACAGAGACGTGTGAGCTGTCCTCAAAGGGCTCCCAGGCTGAGGCAGATTCTCCTAGATAAAGGAGCCGTTAAAAGAACCACCTTGAAAGTATGAACTAATGGCCCTTAGTAGAAAGAAGAAGTTAATTTAAAAGAGTGTATCTGGAGGCTACACTGTCGAAGCCGTATTTGAATTTGGCTTTAAGAGGATTTCAACAAGGTTTGGGGACAGGGAATGCATTTCAGGTGGATCAACCATTTGGCAAATGTCTGGTGCCCTATTCTCCCTCAGTTGGAATGGGACAGAGCCTGCCTGGCTTAAAAATTGGAGAATTCAGAGTGGAGCCTCTGGGTTCAGGAAGAGCGAGCCTGGAAGAAGTGGTCAAGAAGCAAGGGGTTGGGGTGCTCTCATTCCTCCCCTGCTTTTCCCACCAGAGGACCCCCAGGCTGACTCCTCAGCCTCACCCCTTACCCACTTGGAGGCCAAGATCCAACAGACACACAGCCTTGCCCGCCTCCTCACCAAATATGCTGAGCAGCTTCTCCAGGAATATGTGAGTGGGGTTGGGGGTATGGGTACCAGGGGCCTGGGGAATGGGGAAGTATAGATTAAGGGGTCCTTGACCACTCATTTTCTGAACCTCTCTTCACAACTGCAGAAATTGGGGCTCCCAAGAGGGGTCAGCAACTGGCCATTGGTCATCATCCAGGAAATTGGAGGAGGACTTTCTCTGTGCCTCAAATGCCCCTCCATAGAGGGTCCCTCCTTGGTGCTTTAAGACAGAGGCAACCTGAGAGAGTGAAGGGAAGTTTGGCCTCGGAGTCAGAAAACCTAGGTTCTAGGCTCTGTATGATCTTGTCATCTCACCTCTGTGAGCCTGTATCTCCCCAGGTGTCAAAGGAGGCAGTTGAATAAGAGGAACTATGAACTCTTCTATGTGTGTTATGGAGACAGGCCATTTCAATCTAGGGCAGGGGAATGCCATCTCAAGAGGGCACTTTTACAGAGGAGGGGGGTTTGCCAACACCTTTGGTTGACCGGAGAACTCTGACCAGTGGAACAAGGTGGTTCCCCAGATTACTCTGGTGTAGTGGAGGGAGCCTGTAGTTTTGAATCAGATAGACTACAAGCCTGCCAAATGGTGACCTTGGGCAGTGATGATAACATTAGAAATAATAACTTAATAATTATGACAGCAATAGTAGGATAATAAAACTAGGTTTGTAGTCCTACCAGCCTTGGTTCAACTTCCAGCTTCTGCCCCTTCCTAGATCTGTGACCTGGGACAGGTCAGCCTGAGTATCCTCATTTATGAAATCATCACCATTGTCAATACATCCATTATTGGGAAGATTAGGAATAGTGTGTTTAAAGCAGGAGAGACAGTGCCTGAACCAGAAGCAACATATTAGCAAAGGATAAATGGTATTGTTATAGTATCTCTACAAATTACAGATCACCTTTATCTTTTCATTTGTTCATTCTCATGACAGTTACTCATGGAGCTCCTGGCTATGTATTAAGCAGGTGGAGAGGTGGGGGAAGATGGGGAAGGGACTGGAATGGCCTTGGTCCTGTGCTATCTTCTGTGATTCTCAAGAGGTCCCTGGTAGGAGGGAAGGACAGAGAACTGTCCCTCATCTTATAGAAGAGACCATTGAGGCTCAGAGAAGGAAAGGGTTTTGCACCTGACTGCACAGCTAGTGAGTGGTGGAGAACAGGATTTGAACCTGGGTCTGTAAGATAGCATTAATAAAAGAGGTAACATTTTTTTGTGCCCTTCTAATGGGTCAGGACCTGCCTTAAGCTTCTTAGCACGCACATAACTACCTTAAGAAGTGGATACGTTTATCATCTCTATGGAGGAGATGAGAAAACAAAGGCCCTTGTGTAAAGTCCACAGTGGTTTTCGTTGTTTTGTATTCTCTCGAACACAGCCATCCTGTTGTCCCCCCCTTGTGAGACTGGGGACACTGAGGCCCCAGGAGAGGGGTGGAGGGCTGAGTTCCCAGCCGAGGAGCCGCCCTGACTGCCTCGTCTCCGCAGGTGCAGCACCAGGGAGACCCCTTCGGGCTGCCCGGCTTCTCGCCACCGCGCCTGCCGGTGGCCGATCTGAGCGACCCTGCTCCGGGCCACGCCGACCTGCCAGTGCAGGAGCGCCTGCGGCTGGACGCGGCGGCGCTGGCTGCGCTGCCGCAGCTACTGGACGTAGTGCGCCGCCTCCAGGCCGAGCTGAACCCGCGCGCACTGCGCCTGCTGCGGCGCTTGGAGGACGCGGCGCGCCAGGTCCGAGCACTGGGCGCCGCGGTGGAGGCCCTGCTGGGCGCGTTGGGGGCCGAGAGCCGCGGGCCCGGGCCTGAATACGCGGCCGCCGCCGCCACTGACTCCGCGGGCGTCTTCCCGGCCAAGGTGCTGGGGTTCCGTGTGTGCGGCCTCTACCTCGAGTGGGTGAGCCGCACTGAGGTCGACCTGGGCCAGCTAGCGCCCGGGGGCCCGGCCTGAGCGCCGGGCGCGCGGTCCAGCTCGTGGTCCCCTCCCTGGCCGTCTCCATCTCTCCCCATCTCTGTTAGCGTCTCTGTGTCCATCTCTCTGTTTTCTTTGTACGCTTCTCCATCTCTTTTTCTCTCTGGGTCCTTCTTGTCTCCCTCTACGACTTCCCGTATCTGTCATGTCCTTGCTTCTCCATCGTTCCGGTCTGCCTCTCTGAGCGTCTCTTTGTCTTCCTGTCTCTTGTTTCCTCTGGGCCCCCTGTGAGCCTGTGTATATGTCCACCTCATCTCAAGGAAGGGACACCTGTCACTCTGTTTGCCTCTGTCCTTCTCTCTGTCGTTTCCTGGCCAGGAACATGCCTGCTGGCCCTGTGGTGGAAGGGCTCCTCCTGACACATTTCAGCCCCTTTCCGCAGGGTCACTCCACCTGCTGCTCTCCCTGTCCCCATCCCAGCCCTTGTGGCCCTCCACCGTCTCCCTTTGATGCCCTCCACCCCTTCCCCTCCCTCTGCCCTAATCCTACACCTTCCCTTCTCCTCAAGTCAGGTTTTGGGAGACAAAAAAAAAAAAAAAATCTCACCCCTTTGAAGAGTTTTATTTACAAGAATAAATTAATTTTTTGTAAATAAAATGTTTAAAAAGAACCTTGAATTTTCCAGGATATATAGTCGTTGAAAATGGGGAGACACATTTAAGGAGAATAACATCCTTGGGGTATGACCTGGTCCCCCCAGCAATCCGCAAAAACCACACTATAAATAGGAGGTTCAGGAGAGCCCGGAGCCACGGATGCCATCTATCATCCCGAAGTGGAACTGTCCTGAGCAAGAAACAGATGTGACTTGAGTCCTTAGCTTTTCAAGAGTCAGACATCCATTGCCTAGGAAGTGAAGCACCTTAAGATGGGAACTTGGAGCAGTGGCCACAGTCAGAGAGGTAGTCTCGAGGAGGAAATGAACTCCAGGGAAAAGGGAGGCCTGGTTGCTCAGAAAGTCCATATCTTCACAGAGGAAGTGAGGTAGATAGAGACAAGAAGGCAGTCCCTGGACCTCCCCTAAATGACTGGAAGGGGACCAACTGTACTCCCTGTGTAGAGTGGGAAGTGAAACTGAACAGTGTTAGTCACTCAGTCACGTCAGACTCTTTGCAACCCCATGGACTGTAAGTGAAGCATCTTCAGAGAGGTATTTCTTTCCACCCAGGAAGTGAGCAACCAGTACCGCTGGAATGGGAATTCATGAGATGCTGTCCATGGAGTCCCACCCAGATCTGGAGGGGAGGCAACAGGACTTGGGCAGGAAGGCCAGGTATAACGACTAGAGGCCTGGTCCCCAGGAAATGTTCCAAATACCTGGTACACTAGCCCTGTGTCTCCTTTCTAGCCAAGAAAAAAGGCAGAAAAGAATCCCTTGTGAGAAAGAAAAAAGGGAAGAATCAGCTGTGAAAGGAAAAGGGTTGCAGCCTCTAACAGGAAGTCCTACCTCCTCTATTCAGAGTATTTGGCCTTGAGCTCACCCAAGAAAGTCACAGCTCGGTCTGTCCAAAAGCTGTAATCCCGGATTATTACACACCCTCGACACTTCTTATGGAAGGCCGAGTCCCCGAAGGGGACAGTACCGAGGGGGTTTGCTGGGGGTATGGGCAGGCCCAGGGTATTCATGATGCGAGCCAACTTGATCGCTAGGCCTTTGGCCTTGAGTCTTGCTTCCTCAAGCTGATCCAACACAATGGAATTGTCATTCAAAGGGTTTATGTCATTCTGGTCACGCACTGCAAGCAGGAGGTGCTGGCTGAAGGACCAGAAGGCCTGCTGGGTGAGGCTCAGATGTTCTCCATCTTCCAGGCCATGCCAGATCTCGAAGGGCATGTCGGTTGAAGGCAGGGTTATGAGGGAGAGTTCAGGGATTGAGAAGCCAGGATCACTAAAGGGACTGCCTTGGTGCTTGACCTGCACGAGAGACAGAGGCAGATGAGAGTGAGGGGACCCAAACACTGCCCTAGGGTGCCCCTGAATTCACATCTGCCTTCCATGAGACTGGCCTCCTCCTAGGGGGAGTCAGCATTCCCTGCCTCTCAGGGAGTTGATGAAATGTGCTAGCACAGAGCCCCAGTACTGTTAGGCTTCCACTCAGCCTCCTCCACATACAAGTTGTGCAACTTTGAATCACAGCTTCAGTAATTCCCACATGGCACTGTAACGGGGAAGATGATAAGATGTAATAGACATAAAGCACTTAGCACTTGGCATACGAATAGGGCATTAATATCATTCACTAATGACATTTATATTAATATCATGAACACTATGATTATGTTACTTATTACAGTATTTGCAAGCTAAATATATTAGTGACAATGTGGTTGAAGCCGTATTTCCTTTTTACTCACATTCTTCAGTGGTTAGTATATGTTCACTTTTAAATGATCATTAATATGCAGTTATTAATACTGAATTGAAGTATAATATTATTTAGTTAATACCTTCTCCATTAAATTTCTCACCTCCACAAACCTAGACCCACAGAACTGCAGTGCACACTGATCAATTCTGTAACTGATAGATCACCTAGTCCTACATCCCCATTTACAAATGGAGAAACTCAGGGTCCTCAAAATTACCCAGAGGATGGTGGCAGATATGTGACTAGAAATTAGAGGAAGGGACTTCCTTGGTGGTTCAGTGGTTAAGACTCTGCCTGCCAAAGCAGGGGACATGGGTTCGATCCCTGCCCCAGAAAGATTCCCCATGCCGTGGGGCACCTGAGCCTGGGGACCACAACTCCTCAGCCCTCAGTCAGAGCCCACGCTTTGTGCAAGAGAAGCCACTGCAATGAGAAGCTCAAGCAGCGCACAGAAGAGGAGCCCGCGCTCACTACAGTTACAGAAAGCCTGAGCACAGCGACAGGGACCCAGCACAGCCCACAGGAAAGAAACTCGACTTTAAAAAGAGCAAAGAGACTAGGTCAAGTAACTTCATGTGGACCTAGAATATAGTTCAGTGGAAGAGTCACAAATTCCAGGGCCTCCAGGGGCCAGTAGATCACGTCACCTGGAGAAGCAGCAGCAGATGGGGTGGGAGTGGGCCACAGTGACTGGAGGCCAACAGCACCCCTGTGCCTGTTTCTGACAGGTTTTCATGTGCAAAATTTGAACAAGCATCCATGGCCTAGACAAAGCATCTGTGGGTCAGACCCAGCCAGCAGGCTGCTGCTTTGAACTTCCAGACAGTTTTGTGACCTCAGGTAAATTATTCCCCCTCTAAAGCTCAGTTTCCTGGCCTTTCCCTCATGGTCCAGTGGTTAAGACTCTGCCCTCCAAAGGCAGGGGTTGCAGGTTCAATCCCTGGTTGAAGAGCTAAGATCTCACATGCTTTGCAGCCAAGAAACCCAACAGATAAAACAGAAGCGGTATTGTGACAAAGTCAATAAGGACATTTAAACATGGTCCACATCAGAAAATCAAAAAGAGGGCTTCCCTGGTGGCTCGGTGGGTAAGAATCCTCCTGCCAATGCAGGAGACACGGGTTCCTGATCCAGGAAGATCCCACATGTCCTAGATCAGCTAAGCCCGTGGGCCATAACCTCTGAGCCTGTGCTCTAGAGCCAGAGAGTCGCAACTGCTGAGCCCACGCGCCACAACTACTGAAGCCTTGCGAGCCCTGGAGCCTGTGCTCAGCAACGAGGGAAGCCGCCGCAGTGAGAAGCCTGCACCCCGCAACTCGAGAGTAGCTGCCGCTCGCCAAAACCAGAGAGGTGCTCAGTGCTCAGTCACTTCAGTTGTGTCCGACTCTCTGCGACCCCATGGCCCATGGCCCGCCAGGCTCCTCTGTTCCAAGCAAGAATACTGGAGTGGGTTGCCATTTCCTTCTCCAGTGATAGAGTGTGAAGTGAGTGAAGTGAGTGAAGTGAAGTCGCTCAGTCGTGTCCGACTATTTGCCACCCCGTGGACTACAGCCTAACAGGCTCCTCCGGCCATGGGATTTTCCAGGCAAGAGTACTGAAATAGTTTGCCATTTCCTTCTCCGAAACTAGAGAAGAGCCGAAACTAAGTAACAAAGATCCAGCACAGCCAAAAATAAATAAATTAATATAAATATAAAAAAATTTTTTAATCGAAAAAACCCCTCAGTTCTCTTATCTGTAAAAATGGGTCATAATTCTACCTCTTAGAGCTATCTGAGGAGCCAGTAAGGTCATGAGGCTAAATCTCCCAGCATGGCATAGGCTCAGGAAAGCATAGGGCAGGAGGTGACTATGGAAAGACTCATGAGCCTGGATAAAACTTTCCTCTAGGTGCTTCCTTCGAATCTTCTAACAGTCTTGAGAGGTCAGCCAAGGCACGATCACCATCCCATTTGGCAGATGAGGAAGCTAAGACAGGGAGAGAAGGCATGACCTGCCCAAGGTCACCCAGCCATCAGTGGGATCATTCCTGTGGGCGTGTCTCTAGCTGGCAGAGCCTCTGTACCCCAGGACCCATGGAGGAGGCTTCTTCCAGCCTTGTTCTGCCTCCCTTCCCCAGGGCTGGGCCAGGAGGGGGACAGCCTCCTCCCCTCACCCCCTGCGTCCTTCAGTTCTGTTTTTTCTTTTAAGGGTTTTTTAAAATGTATTTTTAATATAATTTTATTTATGGATTTTTTCTGTGCTGGATCTTTGTGGCTGTGTGCGCTTTTTCTCTAGTTGCAGCGAGTGGGGGCTACTCTTCCTCGCAGGGCACAGGCTTCTCATTGCGGTGGCTTCTCTTGTTCCTCTAGAGCCCGGGCTCTAGAGTGAGGGCTCAGCAGTTGTGCACACAGACTCAGTTGCTCTGAGGCCTGTGGCATCTGCCCGGATGAAGAGGTGCACCCATGTCTCCCACATCGGCAGGTGGATTCTTTACCACTGAGCCACCAGGGAAGCTCCCACCCACCATCCATTTCTTTGATATTTCAGGAATCAGCCTTCATTCAGCCTCTGTGATCTGCCCTGAATTGACATGGGCAGCTGTTAATTATAGAAGGGAGGGATTGCAAAAGCAGGGAAAAATTGATTTTAATCAAGAGCAGCCTTAGGGCAAGGTGCTGATTCCCAGATCATGAGATACATACAACAATATCTTTGAAAGATTTTGCAGGTACTGAAAACCCCTCCAGGTGGAAGAAGTTGTGGTATGCTGCCCTCAAACATGTAGACCCCAGGCCAGTTGGACCTGAAGGTTGAATATGTTAATTTCTACCTGACACCACCAACGCATCAGGAAAATGTTCAGGGACTGATCACATCCTCTTTTACTAGAAAACTTCTCAGTATCTTCCCCAGGGGCGACATGGTTTTGAGAGCATGAGCCTGCTGTATCCCGCTTTGCCTGGCAAAGCAGTAAAGATCTACTTTTCTAATTCACCCCAATCTTTGTCTGTGAGGTTTGATCCCGCACCAGTATAGAGAGAAGCTGAGCTTTTGGCATCACCATGTACATGTCTTGGGTGTCCCCGGTGGTTCAGATGGTAAAGAATCTGCCTGCAATGTAGGAGACTCAGGTTCGATCCCCGGGTGCAGAAGATCCCCTGGAGAAGAGAATGGCTACCCACTCCAGTATTCTTGCCTGGAAATTCCATGGACAGATGAGCCTGATGGGTTACAGTCCATGGGGTCTCAGAGTCAGACATGAACGAGTGACTAACACTATACTGTAGTATATGCACAGGTTGGCACGTGGACCCACACCAGATCTGTGTATACACTTTCATACGTTTTGACAGTCAAGGATGTATTGATTCTAGCCATGTGCTTGTCCTGGTTCCAGATAGAGCTGGGATAGAGCAGGTAACAAGTCAGACACAAACCCCTGCCCTTGTGGAGCTGACACCCTAGTGTACATGCCCACAACTGTGTTATACCACACACCCTGCCAGGGAGCGCCAAACACAGGAGTGCATGTGAATCTGCGCTTATGAACACACAGTCATATCCAGAGCCCCACCATAAGGCAGGAGCTACATCTGTTCCTTCAATCGCCCATGTAGACCTTTAGACAGCAGCTGTCAGTGGATCCCCTCCTGCGTGTTGGCACTGGGGTGAATAATAAGGGCCACACAGTCCAGTGGTCTCCCAACAACCAACATGTGAACTCATTAAAAAAAAAATTTCCTAAAGCTACAAGGTGCTGAGAGGAAGCCAAAACAGGTTGATGTGATTAACTGAGGGTAGAGGAGATTTAGATAAGGAGACTGAGGCCCAGAGGGGGCAGCTACTTACCCGGAGTCACACAGCAAGGCCAGGACAGATCGTAGGCTCCTGCCCCCCCAGTTTGGGACTGACTCTAGGGTGTGCCCAATTTGAACTGTGAGCTGAAGGAGGGACGAGGCTGAGGGAAGAGATAGTTCTGAGGTGGGAGATCCTAAATTGGGTCTCTGAGCAAGGGGGCTGTCAAGCTTACCAGGGAGGGCCTGTGCTGGGCAGGCGGTGATGTCAGAGGATTAGACTAGGCCCATTGAGTGGGTGCACTGAGGCGTGGGCAGGGCCAGGTAGTGGAGGAGGGGGAGGAAGAAGAAGAGGAGGGCAGGAGGGGAGGAGGGGGCCAGACACGCGATCTCGTGCTATTCACATGTGGGCAGTGTACCTGGACCGAGCCTCACCCCAGAGGGCAGGCTCACCCTGACCCAACCCCACCATCTCCTGCTCCTCTTGGGGACTTCACTTTCTCTCTGGACCCTTCAGGGACCCTTCATAACTGAAGCATTTCCCCCCTATCCAAGGCCCAGTTCTGTTTTTCCAGGGCATTTGTCTTCGCAGATGTCAGAAGCTGTCCTGCCTCGTACTTCCCCGCCTTGTACCCGGCATATCTCCATCACTGTTTCAGTTTCAACAAAAGCTAATGCCTGGGAAATCCTATCAATTTACAAGTCAGCAGTCCCTGGGTGGGGAAGATCCCCTGGAGGAGGGCATGGCAACCCATTCCAGTATTCTTGCC